GGTCTGGGTTTGGGGTCTTCATTTTCACCTGAAGGTTGCATGGAGTCCTGTCTGTGAAAAAAAAGCCTGAATTTTGCCTGAAACTCTCAGACTGAAGAAGTCTCTTGGAGGAGAGACGAAACGTTTCATTAGAGAAGAACCCGTCCAGAAGACCTATACAATTTTTTCTTTTTTACATTTAATAAATAAATAAATCTTGAACGGTAAAACCGCAACAATTTACTTGTTTTTTTAAATCACAACAACTGAAGCCGCTGCGGACGCTCAGCCCACAATCACGCCCACAGGGTGAAGGACACACTGAGATGGAGACCCACACACACACACCTGAKCAGAACAGAACTGAATAGAGTAGAGCCGTGCTCATGGGTAATGGATAATGACTCAAGTGAATCTGTAATCAGTTGTTTGGAAACAGAGAAAATGTTTTCGGCCAGACAGACGATAACAATTTTCCATCTGCCTTAATGTTCGCTGGTGCATCTCTATGTGGTGAATCCAATCAGACAAATAATGTGAACAGTCCCGCCGAGCTGAGCTATCAGCTTCTCCAAGATGAATTCCATCTGGCCAGCAAAGTCCAGGAACCGCAGCTGGCCCGCGACCCTCAGCAGAACCTCTTGCAGACCGAGTCCAGCTCACTCAAGGCAAAAGTCTGAGTGCTGATAGAACGGCAATCCTTCATATCGGTCAGGCAGCCAGGAAATGGCCTGAATAGCCACCGACATTGTTTTGTAGAACACCAGGAGACCACCAAGCCAATCTGTAGAATCCAGTGATCAGAATCCAAATACAGTATATATCCAGAAAAGAGCAGAACAGAGGTCCCACCTTTGACATGTCCTCCCATGGAAAATAACTTGTTCCAAAAATTTATTAAGAGACCATCTAACCAAATCCATAAAAATAAATCCATAATTTTTGGTTTTGGATGGAAGCTTAGAGGAGGCTCCAAGCAGCAAAGCAGGGAAAGATAAGGAAGGGCAGGAGAGAGGGAAAAAGCATCTTACTCCTCCGAAAGCAGGAAAGAAAAAAAATATATATATAAATTATTATTTTTTTAGTGTTAAATGGTAAATGGACTGTACTTATATAGCACTTTTCTATCCAACCAGGATACTCAAAGCTCTTCACACTACAATCTGTGTCCTCATTCACACAGCACTCTCCTACATCTCTACAAAGCTAACGTGTACTATCATCTATGGAGACAAATCTGTGCCAACCACATTCATTCAAATCAAGGCTGGAACGGAGGATCAAACCAGCAACCTACCGGTTCCTGGACGACTCCCCTAACCACTCTGCCACAGCCACTCCATGAGTTCTCATTTAATATCTCAACTGYAATTATTTCCATTAAATTATCAACAACCAGGTTATCATTTATTTTACACTCTATTTCATTATTAAAAATCAAAGTATCTCCACCACCTCTTGTATTACTTTTATACCTATAATATTATCCATACACCTCAATGTGAAGGTTTATTATATTCTCATCTTTGAGAATGAGGGAGAGACTAGGGGAGTCTCAGAGACGTCTGAGGCTGCTATTAAAATGATTTTTTCTTTAATCTTTTTAAATAGTCCATTATTTTTGATAAACTAACACTAATGATTCTATTATTAAAATAAATAATAGATGCACCTTCATTTGCCATTTTAGTGTCATTATTTTCTCCTCATAATTTCTTATTCACATAAAAATATTAGCTATTTAACTCAGAGAACTATTACAGCCATATTTCAAATACACAAGAAATGCACACAGAAAATACTGAAATACACAAAAAAATAAAACAGCAGCGTATTCGATACTATCACTTCATAATAATAATTTTCAGATTTATTTTAAATGCAGAAAAAGATTTCGTTTTATCTCACTGTGGAGACTGTTTAAWAGTTGTCATCGTTCTGAATCAAGTCTTTAAAATCTCAAATCATTTTAAGTTAAATTTGCTTTATACAGTATTTCTACAAATCTGTTTTGAATATTGTTTGGTAAAAACTTTATGTTCTTTTGAGATAAATTTAAAAACGTACTTTAYCATCTCATTAAGTTTCAGAGTTTAACTGTATAAATACTGGGTTTGTGTGATATCTATGTCCATAATGATTCAGTTAGCTCTGTTCTGTAAAAGGAGAATTGAATTTATTTATGTTTTACATACTTTCTTCAGCTGGCAAAAGCATTTTCCCACTTTAGAGAAGTACAAGAGCTGTAAACACTTTATCCAGTATAAATCTGAAAACACTTGAATCTGCACTTACGATCGGTATTCTAGTTTATTATATAATCAGAATAACAAAAAGCATTTGTACAGTTTGAGAAAATGCTTTCATGTTTYCTCATCAGATCATATGGTGTTCATCATGTCACTCTGTTGCAGAGGAGTTTGATAAAGAAACCGGTCAGGTTCTGAGCGGCATGGACAAACTGCCTCCAGACCTGAAGCAGTATGTGATGGAGGACAACGAACTGTTTAACAAAGAGATTGAAGAGTGGGACGCCATGCAAGCCTGCAAGGCCCAGCACGAGAAGTTAGCCCTGGCTTCAGCAGCTGCTGCTCCCATGGCAGCGTCCAGCACTTCCACATCATCTTCTTCTCCACAGTCCATGAGTGTTGAGTTCAGTCCTCCAGACAATGCAGGTACAGGTCCTTCAGAGTGACACAGCAGCCTTCATACAAGGATAAATCTCCACAATGATTTGTTCCTTGAAGATTCATAAGAAAAAGAAAGGCTTTTAAAGGGGCAATATTATGTGTTTCTCAGGCATATATTTAAATACTATACCATAATAAAGTATCTATGTCACCTTTAGTTG